ATATATATATATATAATTAACTTTTTCAATATTGTAATATTTTAATTCGGTTATTAAACATTTTTTTATTGTATTTGCATTGTCACTTTGAAAATATGAATAAAATTTAAAAATCAAACAGCTCAAATTATATATTTTACTTGATACTTAAGAACTTTTTTAATTATTTATAACTCAATGTTAAATAATAGGTATAAAATAAATATACATGAAAACTGTTATATTACTGTTATTTACTAAGAAAAAAAATTATGGATCATTTAGATACAAATCAAAGAAAATTGTAGAAAGTTTCTAATCATTAGTTCCACACTTTGTACAGGATTCTTAAATATATAATGTATGTAATTTAGTCTTAATGACACTCTAATAAGCACATCCACAACAAAGTTTGGTTTTGCTTCAGTTATATCCGACATAACATACGAGAAATAAAAGTCCTTAGTCTAAATGTTATTTTTTCATTGGCGGTGGACCAACCATTGGAGGTGGTGGTCCATTCATTGGTGGTCTCATGTGTCCCATAGGGCCTATAGGACCCATCATAGGACCCATTGGTCCCATCGGTCCCATCATAGGTGGTCTCATGCCCATCATAGGAGGTGGCATTGGTCCATGTGGTCCCATCATCATTGGGCCTCCTGGACCCATCGGACCAGCTGGATGCATACCCGGCGGTGGCATCATTCCCGGGGGTCCCTGAGGTGGTACTCCGGATCTCGAGCCAAGATTGGAGCCGAGGTTCGGTGGCGGTGGTATTGCCGCACCTTTGTTGGCCGCGAAAGGATTGGAGGCGATCTTACCAGCCTTGAAAGCAGCCGTTGTTGCATCGATCAAATGTTGGGCCTGCTCCTCCATCCATTTCTGATAAAAATACTTGACATTGTCCTTGTGTTTGCGACCCTGGCAATGGGTCTTCCGCACGCTCGGTGAGTCATGTGTCAAATAAGTGTCGCAATAGTCACAATAGTATTTCGGCATCGATGCGTCTCTCAATATATTCTGCTGATTTGCTAAATCAATATAATCTTAGCGCCGAGACACTACTGTGTTTCCAAATTTGCCGAATTTTTCTCAATTTATATCACAGCTATCGAGAAAAAAAAGACAGACGCAAGCAACAGAAAGTTTTAGGTTATGTCGTTATGTGTTGCATTCTGTCGGTAGCGACTCATGGAGGCACTAACACTTGTGGTGCAATCGGTTCTATACCGTTTACACTTTACTCACGAGTGTCTAAACGACAATCGAATATGATTGGTTGTTATCTTCGAATCCAATATTCAAATGCTACTTATATCCATTTCTACCACTAAACTTAAATTTTAATATCGGTTTAATTTACTTTTTTTTTTTTCGAAGAATTTAAAATAAACAATCGAGTCTTAAAATTGATTCTTAGAAAAAAATAAATTAAAAAAAGATTAAAGTTAATCTACATTAATAGAAATAAACATAAATCGTTCAATAAATGAGTATATAATATTGGAGATATTTTATTGAGAATCCACAACAAAAACTGTAAAAGCCATCAAACTATAACCAGCATTATGAACTACTAATTTAATTACTAATTTAATTATTTGTAAATGACATATTTATGTAAAATTAAAGTTCTGGATCAAAAGAAATGGAGTTTAATGTAATCATAAATCCGCTTACAATTATTTTGAAGTCTGATTGGGGAAAATCAAAATGGAAGATCACAGAAAAATTAAAAAATGATCTCGAAACTTCACAAAACTTTTTTTAATGATTTCGAGACTTTCAGTTAAGATTCCATTTCATTTCCAAAACTTTTTTTAATGATTTCGAGACTTTCAGTTAAGATTCCATTTCATTTTCAAAATAAAAAACTAATTTCTTATTTTGGATTAAAATGCAATTGTTGCATAGAATAATTGAATAATCATAATAAATGATTATGATAGAGCACTTAATATACTTACGTATAGGTGATTGGAAGAATGATGGTTGAAAGTTATTTGTAAATACAGGCATGAAATCAAACGATGGTATAGACGCGGGGGGAAATGGAAGTAACATTCCATGGTTCCCATAGAACTTTGTATTATTAGAATTATTCATGTTTTCCTGTCCATCGTTCTTTACATTCTCCATTTCATTGGACATAGTCGTTGATTTGGATAGATAATAGATAATTATCACATGAATAAAGCAAATTATTATGATTGTGGTAATTAACGCGACGTAACAATGGCACGGTGGATTTAATTACAGTGCGATAGAAATCACGAGATATTTGGATCCGTTGGTCGGGGTCCCTTATTTTCACACCGGCACGACGCGACGACGACGATAATGCACACAATGATCTGTGTCTAGCTAGGACATGACTGTCGATTTCTAAACAACAATATCATTAACGAATTAATTTCGAATGATATACGTGTGAGTCTTGCGCACGTGTTTCGAATGAACGCGAAATATTTTAAATTTATTTAAACGAGTCTCAAGATTTATTTGCATCTGATTATGAAATTTATTGTCACAATCAGATGCGATTGGCAAAATCGATGATGGAATGATTATTTTGATATCTTTGTGTAACAATATGATTTGTTCGATTTCGAATGTTACGCGATTATCTCGTTTAAAAACTTTAAAAACTTTGTAGCGTTCAATAAAATAATGTTAAAAAAACAAGCGATTTCGAGTTTACAATTTAATCTGTAGATGATTGTTTGAATTCTAGAGTAAATTCTATCCAATAAGTAGATCTAAAATCGACATTAAGACAACTTTAAAATAGCTTTAAAAGTTCTTTACGAAAAAATTAAATTATTTCATAAAGGATGTCTTATAGTTGTTCTATGTGCTAATTTTGAATATTTTTGCACATTCTGTAGATTACTGCAACGTTTATAATCCAGATTAGAATTAAATATAATTGAGAATTTTCGATTATGTCGTTTGATAATAGCAATAATATGGCTTAATATATTTTTAATTACGTGATTATATGCAATTAATTCAATTCTTTTTGCAATATTCAAATCAATAAATATTTAATTAAAGTTGCTATAAGTAAAACAGAAGTCACTATTTGCTGATCTTAGTGTGTTAGTTTTCATTGGTAAAATGTAATCATAATGAGAATTATATTAAAGAAAATTGTGTTAATTAAATTACAATTATTTTTATTTTTATAATTAAGCATTTAAATTAATATCTATAATATAGAAATATGAAAGAAAGATAACTTTTATTGATTTCGTGATCAATATTTATTCTCAAAAATTTGAAGGAACATTATTTATCACTACAAGCAAGATGAGCTGTACGACTCGAAAACTATTAAAAAAAACTTAAAACATATGCATCGTATCAATAGCAATTCTAGTAAATCAATTGTAGCATCATTGTGTATTAGAGATTTATCTATCCATAATTTTGTAAATTTCAAGTCATTGTCATTTATCTCCTTGCATAAATCGTGTTATATATAAATAGTCGTTACATTAAAAATGCAATATTATGTTTATTTATATTTAAATAACATAATTATAATATATTTTAACTTACAGTAAACATACTACGCGAAATAAGCTTCAACGCACACGTGTTACAAATATATTGCAATGCTTATGACCGCAATATGTTGCGTGGAAATGGCGAGTTACAGCAATGCAAAATATATTTAAAAAAAGATATATATAAAATAATCGCATTTGTTTGAATTAAAGACGAATATATAAATATATAAAAAAAAAATAAGTAGGGATTATTTGCGAGGAAATCAAACTCTGATATGTCTAAGGGAAACGTTCATAGTGCATTTCATCTAACGACGGCGTAGTGTGGAGTCGGCTTGTTCACCGTTCCCCAAAAAAGGATGAGTTTCGTGGGATCATGCCTGATGAAAAACATGAAAGGCCGGTTGGCAATCAACTTCTTCTGATTACCATCTCGGCGTAAAACCACCGCAGTCGTCGCAGCAGCCTCTGTCCCTTTCTCCGTTACATCCATCTCCACTTTATGCAACACTTCATCAGCATACAGGCCCGGATTTACGAGATTCGCGCTGTTTCGCAAAATATCTAGGCCGTAAGAAGGAAAATTTTGAGTTTGCATGAATTTCAAGAAATTCTGGTCTATAGGTCGGCTTTGCCGTCTCCTTCTACTTTTCTTCTCGACATTTTCGAAGCGATGTCTGTTTTCCTTCAAGCTCACATATTTCGTATTTACATCGTCAATCATTGATGCAACTTTCTTAAGATCTTCATTCTCCATGACATACGTCGCATGGAATGACTTCGTATTATTACGTTGTCTTACGTTCTCAGCATCGCGACGTGTTCTACCAATCTTTTGGATACTGAAGCCCGAGTCCCATTGCTCTACGCTGACACCGCGTTTCTTATCGTCGTACGCGAAGTAATTCCTTTTTGTGTTCTGATGACTGTTATTATTCCCAAAGCGCGAGAAAATTAAAATCTGATCAGTCTTAGTATTCAGCGATTGCCCGGAAGGAATTTGCCGTGGCATTTGCGATGACGCTTGTGGAATCGATGTAGCAAATGGTTGTGGAACTGGCACAGCCTGTCCTTGAGGAATTGACGTAGCTAATGGTTGTGGAATCGACGCAACATATGATTGTGAATCTGGTGCAGCTTGTCCTTGCGGAATCGATGTGGCAAATGGTTGTGGAATCGGCATAGCTTCTACTTGCGGAATTGCTGCGGCTTGTGCTTGCTGAATCGATACCGTTGATGCTTGTGGCATTTGACCGTATCCGTTTGATAAGATACTTAAATCCGCAGTTTTCGGATTGAATAATGAATGCAAGCCTAGACTTTCAAGTGCATCGTTTAAACTCAATTTGCTCGAAAGTTTCATACGGGGAAAACCGATGACACATGTCTCGTTCTTCATACTGTTTATTAGGTACTCAATAGTATCAGCTGTTAATTGATTCTGGAAATTCTTTAATGCGGCGGCTCCTTCAGCTTTCGGCAAAAGTATATACATAGACATCTGGAAATAAAAGAAACAAATTCTCATATGAATTATTATTTGAAAGAGGAAATTTCCAGAGCTGAAATATTTATATTTATTAACGCGTAAATAATAATATTAAATAATAATATTAAAGAATAATATTAAAGAAAACAATCTAGGAATTTAATATTTGAAAGATTTTGAGAGATTTTATAAATTTAAACTTTATCTCATTATTAAATTAAAGAATAACAATACAATTAATATTTTTGTATATTTACCTCTAAACCTTTGTAAGGCAGAGCCAGTATTTTAACGCCCAACGATTTGTCCTCGTAGAAGGGAAAATTACCACCGTTGTACATCATGTCTACTTCGATTGTATTATTCGGCTCGATGAAGAATGGTTTCCTGCAATAAAAAATTTTTCAATTATCAAAAGTATAAAAATAAAGTCATTTTTTGTTATTCGGGCTAAATAAATAACAAAACGTACCTCCGCGTCATATCTTCCAAGAAATGTTGATTCCATTCTCCTTTGAAATACAACGCTGATAAAAGAATCACACTTGTCATTGCACGTGGTGGTTCGTCCAATATACTATCAATTTTATCCATTGTTCTTTTCTTCACCCATGCGTTAATTATATCACGCGCTTCTCTGGCTTTTGTACGAAAATCTAAATTTATCACTTCGCTATTATACACATTTTCGCTGATCGCGCGAAATTCTGGTCGAATCGGATATCCTTGCTAGAATAGAAATTAAAAATTCGTAAAGTATATTAAAAAGAAACTTTTATTTTGTATTGAAATAAAGAAAAATATTTTTATCTGTTTGTACTCTTCAAGCTCAATCCGCGAATTCCATTTTTAATAATTTGTATAACTTAAAGATCATTAATACTTCGATATATTCTTTCGTGAAACTTTATCATAAACTTTATTTAATCAGCTTCGACATTTTGTTGCGCTTACAATTAGATGCAAATTATTCTATAATATAAATAATCAGAATGTTAAAATTTACCTGGACGAAAATACCACTAGCAGAATTCACGTGCGGCATGTCGCTATTCTCAACCCTATAATTCAAGATGGTCAGGAGCTGACCAAACATTTGATGAACAATTTCGGAATGTTGGGATATATCGATACCAGTCTCTAAGCCGAGTATCCGGGTGACTTCGTCGAAGGTCTTGCCAGCGGAACCCAATAGTACTA